ACAATTTTACTCAGACCCATAGCCTTGCCCATGTCGCCCTTTACTCTTAAATCACGTTCGAAAAATGCCTTCGTTGCAGACACTTTTCCTCGAAAGACGTTAATAAATGTGGCTTTATCAAATTCAAGAGCGACGTCCATGTCCTCACTGACACCTTCTTCGACTGATCCTTTACCAGATCTTGCGTCAATGAAGAAATAGGGCGGATCGGTCTCTGAATTCACGCGACAGGTTGCAAAGGATTTTTAATCTGAGGGTTTTGGAAGTATGATGGCAAAGTAAATCAATTTTTATGGCAGTATACTGCAAAGGTGGGTTAAAAATACTGGTAACTTACTATCTCTGAACTGAAACTGAAACACGCCCTGGAGTTGGTCAACAATTGATGAGTCTACAGCTTCCCGTAAGGCCAAAAGTATTTCACGTATCTCAGGATCGTTAGTTGTGAATTCTTGGTTACGTTTTTCATCTGGCTTCGTTGTGTTTCCTCCCTCGTTTGTTCTATCTGAAACAGTTTGTTTCCCTGAGTTTTTCATTTTTCCCAAGTCAAGTTCCTCTCCCGATGGGTAAACTTCGTCTGCTTTTATCCCAGGAACAAAGAAGTCGGGTATTAGGCTAGAACCTGCAATAGAGAAAGTGTTAAGAAGGGGAAGACTACGACTAATAATTGCAGTTAGAAAATCTAATTAAGAGAGCATTACCAGCTTCATATGCATAATTATCAAAGTCCGTTATCCCTTCTTCTCTTAAAACATCTTCATCAATCACAAATTTCCCCGTAAATGTGTGGCTGTCACGCGTAAGGACAGCATAAGCTGCATCAGCAACTATTTCGGGTTTTCGACAAACCTAAACTGGATATTTTGTCACAAGAATATCCACAAATGAAACCTGAAGGGTGCAAATTAAAGATTTTCAAAACTTCCTAATAGCAAAGGTAAGAAAAACCATTTTTGGAGCTCCTAGAACTTCCATTGCAGCAGTCCATATGCCGGTTTTTGGCCAAAGCGCGTTTACTGCAATTCCATACCTCTTCAGCTCTTCAGACATACCTAATACGCACATTGACATTCCATATTTAGCCATTGTATATGCTGCAAAGAGAAGACATTTTTGTTCTGGTTCGAAAGCACATTATCTACAAGAAACTTTTAAAACTGCTAAGGCTGTAGTAATGATCAACAATACTAGTCGCTGGATTAAACAGTTGTCACTATAATTTTTTATTAGCATTTAAGAATTATTAAAAGTGACATAGTATGATACTCGGAGAAAATTGCTCTCAGATTAAAAGTGAACCTGTTCAGGTTCAACTCATCTGATTAGTGTCTTTTTGATTTAAGATAAGGCTAAAAAAATATATTGATAGGGTAAATAAGTAGAAGTGCTTACCAACGTGTCTTGAAAACCACTGAGATTCCATTAATAATGGGGGGCTCAGATTTAAAATATGAGGATTTTTGCCGTGTTTTAAGTGTGGGATACATTTTTGGGATCTGTAAATAAATTGATTCATGGATTATAATTAGTTGGGCTTTTATCCACTGTTTGATAGTGCATTGCAAGGTTCAAAAAATTGTTCTTAATTCATCAATCATTACACATTATTTTCAACCGAGTTTTACGTAAGGTAAACTTACAGTAAAAATGTGCCACGAACATTAACACTATGCATCAAATCAAATTTCTTCATTGGTGTTTTTACTGTCCCAGTTAATGAGATAGCACTAGCGTTGTTAACCAGAATATCAATCCCACCAAATTTTTTTACTGCAGATTCAACAGCATTTTCGACTTCCGATTCATGTCGAATGTCCATCGTACAAGCCAATCCCTTGCCACCAGCCCAAAATAAAAAAAGTGTGGAAAAATAACGTTCTCCCTTCAGAAGGAAGGCCCTAATAAATTTGGACATACCTTTTCAATCTCTTTGACTGCCGTATGAATAGTGCCCGGTAACTTCGGATGCTGTACAGCAGTTTTTGCAGCAACAACGATATTTGCTCCATGTTTTGCAAGCTTAAGTGCAATTGCTTTGCCAATACCTCTTGATGCTCCGGAGATAAACACAGTTTTTCCAACGAAGCTAAACAGTAGATCAATAACTAGCTGGTTGCCTAGCACAGTCCGATTCAGATACCCCTCTACACACTACAGCAAAAAACGAATATAGTTGATTAAAGAAAAAACATCTTCCGTACCGTACAAAAGAAGTGGGCCAATTACTATGAGTAGCAGTAACATTCTTAGCATACAACATAAACCTCTTACCTTTTGTCTATCATTGTACCAGTTGATTTTAGGAATAAGTGCGTTGCTTACCACGGGCCTTGTTACTGCACGAAACAATCCAGTTGTTCAACCCTGAAAGTTATGTTTAACTACTTCTCGTTTTAGACTGGGGTTGCCAGATCAACTTATTTTTTACGTCATGAAGACTTCACTTTATAACCAGACAATAATATTTTACCAACTAATATACACAAAAAATGTTTGATGCTGCTTTGAGTCAACAGGAAAAAATAAAATCAGACGGTCATGTCGCGTAAACGAATGATAATATAAGAGGAAAATTTTTCGAAAAAAACAAATTTGCTGAACGTTTGAGTGTTTCTTTAATGAACTCCACTCACAGAATATTTATGTTTCTGCGTAATAA